TTTGCTGATCACATAAGTGTAATTCAATAAAAACAGTGCAAACAATGGTACATTTCTATTGCAGCATTATAGTTTGTTACTGCCTTTACAATGTGTTGCAACAAAAAAATTAGGCAAAGTTTTCCATATGTCAACAGTTGCATATGATTTAATCCTCATCCTATTTATGCACACTAATGGGTCTTATGTATTTGCTTTTACTGTTAAGCCTAAAAAGCTTAACCTCAAGTCAAGTGCAATTATTAATTGCTCACATTTCATCTTTGAAAAAAAAAATATATAAACAGGCAACAGACATAATAGACTGTATTCCTGGTATTAACTGTAGAAATAAAAGAGCTCATTCATATTAATAACAACTGTCCATCAGCATTATAGTCAGTTCTGGCACAGGACACAAGTGACAAAGTATGGATTTAAAAACAGTCACCAGTACCACCAATACCCTAAACAAACACTAGTTGCATAGATCTAAAAGAAAAACATTAGCTTGAGGTTAACACAAGAATGTGTGCCCAGCAGCTTCTCAATGTGGCATGATAAACCATCTCAAACAATCAGCATGGGAACACATATGCTGTCAAAGAAGGGGTGAGACAAAAGAGGTCAGAGGTTCTTCAAGGTTCTGTATGAGGGCGGCCTCTGATAAGTTTGACTGAATGGCTGGGAAGAGCAATCGTAGGACGGAGAGGTCAGCGGGACTCAATGATGTGAGCTTTAATGTCCACAAATAGAGGACGCAGGATGGGAACAATCTTTGACATCTTAATTAGCTTCAACATCTTACTCTTGAGCTCCTGACAGAAGGTCTTCAGAGGGTGTGGAACAGTTTCCACCATAACGTTCATCAAAAATGTTAATTATTGGAGCCAAGTTTTTAAATGTTGATTAGGTTTATAGTGTTCCATTAAAGAATGATTACCCACATTTAGAATGTAATTATAGTGCAAAGTGAGAATATATTGATTACAAATTTAAATCCGGGTATGAACTTTCGAGTGCTTAAAGCTCGTTTGTGTCACTTACAGAATCATCAGATGCTGATGCAGGCCATCCCTCCCACTGCTGATACCGGACGGGGATGTTGGTCAAGTCTGAAACGTTTCTCTTCACCTGAGAAAAAAAGTGAAGTCGGAGTTAGTTAAGCACTGAAAAACTCTAAAAATCAGTTAAAAAGACAAATCGCACCAATCCTTAACTAGAGGGATCATATTTGTCTTTACTTATTTGTGTAAAAAATAAAACAGCTGTTGTATGATTAGGATTAGGATATGTCTCTTTTAAATGCTTTAATACAGTAAATCAATGTTTTAGACTGTAAATATTCACAGCTATCCTCAATTAGGAGGCTTGTGGAAAAATTTGGGAGGAGGCGCAGAATGAAGAGGGGCACAAGTGAAAAGGATGGACGAGACGCACAAAAAAAAAAGAGAGACAACCAGTGTTAACAGCATTCCTCAGATGCCACAGCTAATTCCCAGCAACAACAACCCCACACTCTGAAATGAACAGTATTTCTCTTCCTCCATTCATGTGCAGTCGCTGTATCTACATCACCTGTTAACTTTTGTTGGTTTTAAACTGTTAGCGACCAGCAGCGCCTGTCCCCGCTGAGCGCCGCATTACACCCTCCAGTGGGTTGTTGGTTTAAAGCCCTAACGCCAGCCTAATGTGCGTCAGTTGAAGCTGATCAAAGGCTCGTCAGCGTCTGAATGCTGATGATGGTGGTGGATTTTAGAGCATTTGTTCAGCAGAATTCTGCCATTCAGGCCTGTGGGGCGGGACATTGACGCAGAAAAAACTATGTATTGTGGAGCAAAGATCCTTCCATAAACAGGACAAATTCTGTCTTTGTAAAATGCACTGAGGAGAGATGGATCCGTGAACATATTCAGGACTGCTGCTCACAGACGTGGAAACTTAAAAGAATGCTACAAACTACAAAGCTAGACCGAGGAAGACTCTGAAAAACACCAAACTGTAATAATTTGCTGGGCAAACTTTGTCTGGCTGCTTGGACATCATCATGATAATGTACTCTGCTCGTGAAAATACTGTATGCACTTGGCTGTGATGTAATTAAATCCAAATATTTTATTTATTTTTATTGAGAAGAGTAAATATTTTATCCAAGTTATCAGACTCTTAGAGAAATGATATTATATTTGTGCTGGGCCTCTCAGAGCAAAGCAATTTACAATACAAACAAGCAGGGAGAAGAAAAAAAAAACACTAAAAGAACAATGATAAATGAGTGGCACAGTCCATTCTTTGCTCCTCTCTTGTAAATCCCACATCACATAGCTCAGTGTCTTTCCTTATGAAGAGAAGCTTTGGCCAAGATAGCAGGCTGAGGTCAAAGCGGGTGGCCAGTGTTATTACAGAGTGTAATATCTATGTTTGACCAGCCAGACTACAGGGATTTGACTGACCGGCTGGCCAGCCGATGAATAAAGGGGGAAAAGGGAAGAAAGGAAAGGCATAAACACTAGTAATGAAGAAGCTGCAGTCAGAGGTTAAAGCAGCAGCAGAGAAACAACAAACTAACGCCCACCGCAGAGAGAGTGAAGGTGAGAGGTGGTGCGCGAGTGGAGCAGAGACAGACAGTGAAAGACATCTGGCAGAGAGGACAAGCTGATCCCACCGCAGAAAGAAAACAACTAAACAGCCGGTGTGCCCACCTGAAAACACACAGCTAGAATATGCATGAAGTCATTCAGTTGTCTCTTGACGCATGAAAAATATGGAACAATTAGGGGAATTTGATGAAACCATATGACGGCAAAGTGTAAAAAAAAAAGTATTTGGAACAAGAAAAATATATACACTCAAGAGCAGGTTGACACAAATCTAGTCTTAACTTCTCTTGGTAGATGCTTTTTGATACAACCTTCACACTGTCCAATGCTGCCCCCTGTCTACCGCAACGATCATGTGAGTGATTGTAACCAATTATACAATAAAATGTCATCCTCAACTATAAATTTTAAAAAAATTAATTGCCATTCTCAAATGACTATTACAAACTAGACATTAAACATGGAAGAACAATTAGAAAATCCTTAAATGTCACTGGGAGAAAGTAGAAATGGTGAAAGAATAGTGGCATAAGAAAGCTTTTTTTTTAAATGAAGAATGGACTCGCACATACAGAAGCTAAAAATATTTCTATCAACACCCAATAAATGCATATAGCCAATTTGTTTGTAGTAAAACATTTTTATATGAGATGGGTGTATGAGTCAATTATCTACATTAAGGAGACTGGCGGCGATGCTGAGCTGTTGGCCAATACGACTCACAGAAAATTAATGATCCAATCATTGTAAATGCCAATTGCCTATAATCCCTGTCTGGAAGCAAATCAAAGAGAAGGAAAGGTTTCTATTAAACAGTCACAAGCTTTCTCTCTCTTGTTCTTTCTCTTCATCTCCTCTAAGCACCAGATGCCTTTTTTCATTTTGTTTTTCATCCAGCTTTCTTTTTCTCAGTTCTATAGCCTCTGTCTACATTTGGTCTCTGTCTCCCAGATGCAGAGGAGCGATGGGGCCCAGGCCCAGCCCTGGTGGGTGTGTTGGGGGGTAGTCGATGAGAGAAATCCCCACGACGACTGGTCTAGTCACGGACAACCCAGGACCCAGCAGCCATCCCCTATTCTAACTCATACTTCCCTGGCAAACATTTGCTCTCCAGCTTAGCTTAGAAGCTAGCCAGCAACGTACCCCCAAACTCTTGTCTGGTTATGCCAATCAGAGGCTACACAGTCCTGAGTTCTAGAGGAGAAAAAAGGAGGAGGAATGCTGGGAGAAAAGGAGGGGTAAGGGTAGTTCCCCGAGAGCCAGAAGGCAAAGCAGGAACGTAAAGCCAAATAAAAAACAAAACAAACAAAAAAGACAAAACTCTATCCTAGTTCCTCTGCAAAAGCAAAACCCATCAGTTGGTCGAGATAAAGATGGAGTCCTTACGTGTAAGTGGACAAAGTTTGAGCAATGAGGCCGAACATGATGGTACTTATCTCTTACTTGTCTTATCCTCATCTCTTATCCTTGTATAACCGTCAGCGACGTGACTGCAGGTCACTACTTTTATTATTTTTCAGTCAGAACTGTCACAAACTAATATTTTCCTATTTACCATAAGCAAGTCAACTTCATTATGATTGACCTAAAATATTATCTAACTCCCTTTAATAAATACTTATACATTTGTGGCTGTCAACAGCACTTTTGAGACTGTCCCTACACGGTCAAAAGATTTGATATTTGCAGGTTCTAGGTCTCATTTTCACAGCAGGGAGCCTTCAGATGTCTAAAGACAAACATGTGCAAGGAAAAGACTGACATGGAGGCCTGTTTAAGCCCACATTGTCCCTTCTCCGTCCCCCATTGCCTCTTGCAACACCCCCACCAAGCTAACAGTTTTTTGCCTCTTTTCTGTGACCACAATTCCCCCCCTCCCACACCACAGGGGCCATTCCCCAGTGTTTGTAATCCCAGCAGAAACACTTAAGGTTCACAGTGGGTGCTCATCAAAACCATCTGCCTGAGAACAGAGTGAGGAAAAAAGATTTGACGAAGAAAGGGAAAAAATGGAGAGCGTGCGAGAGAAGGATGTCCAGGGAAGGCCGACCGCCTCCAGTTCAGATGCTAGCTCTACTAATCTGTTCAATTAGCACCATTACAAGCTCTGCTAGTACCAGTATGATCATTATTAATATAGTTCACCCGTACAGAGGACTCATGAATTCACTACAGTGACTGCAAATAAACAAGATCTTATTTCTTTAGAGTACATTGGAAGTCTTTAGTAAAACTAAATTGTAATTCTTTAGGTACAGCTGAAAAATATCAACACCTAAATCAAAGAAAAATGTTTCCACCTTGATATATTTGGTGAAAATTATTTAATTCTCAAGAAGTTTTCATGGCTCTCTATCTTCTACCCAAACCACTTTTAAATAGAGTATCCCTTTAGATAATCAGAGGAAAGACAGCTTTTAGGAACGTCTCAGTCCCACCTCTTTGTGTGGAGATCATTTCTTAAAATAGGACAGTGGGTTGTGTTTTATAAAATATGCACGACCCCTGCTCAGGTCTCTGCAGGTGGGGTTCAACCAGGGCAGCAAGGGGCAGTAATGCATGTTTGTCTAGTTTGAACTCACAAACACTAACACACATGCACAATAACTCTGCATAGATAAGCAAGCACACGCTCATTTTTTTCATGCTGCTTAACCTTTATTCAATTCTTAGGAATAACCAGTGCATAGAAAAGTATTCTGCCCTCACGAAGGGCCCAGGATGAGCAAAGATTAATATTTCATAGGCTGCCAAATCTACTGTTTAGTTTCAGATGAGAGATGTGAATAGACTTTTCTAGTGCTCCTGCATGCCTTGATCAAACAATGTTCAGTCATTTAAAGTGCCTCTCTCTCTCTCTCTCTTCTCAAGAGCTCTGCAAAAATGAAGGGAGAGGGGAAAAAGACACAGGGTAAGGGGAGTGGGAAGAAAAAGAGGGGGCTGTACACGACCGCAGCTGTTAGAGTAATTATGTGCTCTGAAATGTGATCATTTGTGATGAATAATGAATCGATGGCTGAGATAGACTAGCAATGTTTGGCAAATAGAAGGAAAGCTGTGTTTTGCCGAAATGAGAATCAGGTACAATAATATTTTGTAGGTAAGAGCCTGTGGGTGCATTACAGAGACGTTCTTTGTGTGTTTGAGCATACCAAGAGACTCTCTTATGTCTTTTACCATCTGTATCTAAATGCTAATCTGGTGTCTTACCTCCTGTATGGTCCTGGAGCCAGGAAAGTTGAGGTTGTAGTCCCTCTGAGCCTCACGGTGGCTAATGACCAGTAAGAAGTTCTGGTTTAGGGACTCTTGAAGTGCACTAAATGAAAGGAGAAGAAATGAAAACTGTAGTACCCGTAATAGGAATTAACACTCATTAAAAAAAATATTGGAGACTACATAGAATAATGATGCAAAGAAAAAGTAAGAAACATCTCTGAGTCAAGGATAAGGCAAGCTGAGACTTGTCAATATGTGGTAGCCTGCTGGCCCACAGCGAAGTGGGTGCCTCCTCGAGGGGCTAGTCACCCACTTTAGGGGTTGTGTCTTAACAAGCCTGCTCAGAGTGATGTGCAACTGAGCAGGCTTTCACAACTATGACCACCTGCACAGTAACAGCATGGAGCCCATCAGTCTGCAATATGGCCAACAGACACTTTTAAAAAGCAAACCCCCCGAGAACCTTTAGTAATTACGTACAGAATCAAAAAGATGCCTCAAAACCTGATTTTACTGTAAAAAAAAACCCACTAAAATAGAATTAAATAAACTTAACACCTTCAAATGATTTGGTGAGGTTACAGCTAAATAAAAATGACTGCGCATTTACTCTGGCAAATAGACGCAGAACTTCAGCAAACTTATAAAATGTTCTTATTTTCTGAAAGCATCAACACCTCCCTGTTGTAAATGAAGTCAGTGTCAGTCAACAAAGTCAAAAACTGCCACAACAGTTGTCAGATAGCAACATCTTAAAAATACCAAAGGAGCCAACTGTACAATAAACTGAGCCAGAGACCCTTTGATGATGTAGTTAGAGGGTCATAATGTTGCTAATGTGCTCCTCCTTGTGCATGCTACAATTGTTTCTCTCCAACTTCATTTTGCTTAGAGAATCTTTTTGCCAGTTTCAATAATAAAAGTAAAGGACACAGAAGAGAAGGTGGGGGGGGGGTTCAACTTTTGGAAGCTTCATTTACAATAAGCTGTGAGGTTAAGTAGCGTTTTGAGCAAACGCTCTTGTCTGTGAGGGTGAATAGCAATGGGAGGCTTAAAGGCCGAAACAGGCACTTAATCAGGGCTCAGAAACCAAGGAGAGGAGGAAGAGTTGAGGGAAAGCGAGGGATAAGGGAATTAATATGTAGCACACACATTAATTATGCAATCACACCCTTAATCTGTGCAGATCTGGACGAGCTTATGTTAACAGAAGCTCAAATTTACTGTAATGACAGCATATTTACATTGACTAAAACTACGAAATCAATATGTAAATGTAATGTTTGTTGTAGCTAACTGGAGAAGATTGGAAATGTGTGGAGTGCGAAGAACGAATGCATAATATAGGGGCTGAGCAGAAGGGTGAAAATGATGGGTGTGTGTTTGAGAAAGAGAGGAGAAATGGAAGGGGTAGGGACACATAAATAAGGATCTAGCTAATATCATGATTATGTTTGGACACGGTCCCGAGCTGCTGCTGGCAGGCAGCTAAACTCCTAAATAGGCAGAGATGGAGGGTAAACTGAGTGGAAGTGTTACTCTGTCCTTCCAAGCAAAGAAGGAACATCTCATCAGTCATTTATGGCAGACTGATAAAACCTTTGTTGCACACGTAGGAAGTTTTCTTCAAGATTTACTTTGAAAAATCAGCTCTATGATCATGCTCAGTAGAATATAGCTATTTAAAATATCAAATCCATCCTGTGGGAAAATAAATAAAATCTCTGTCATTCATAATGAGTCATTTCATGTTATTTGCCATCTGTCTAAAGAGGCCTGCTGGTTCGTACATAAACAGAATAAGCATGTTTCAAGCCCAGTATTCCTTTGTCTGGGCTGCTTTTACCCCTGATGCTCTTAAAGCTGCCGTCTTGACTGAAGCAGGCCCGTCAGGCAGAGCAGGGTTGAAAGACCAATGTGTCTGTGTTTGCCTCTGCCATCAGAGGTCTTTTCCTTACTCATTCAGTGACATCTAGGTCGCCCTTCAACATCTGTGGAGGCACTTGACAGGTCATGAGGGTGCAGAGAGGAAAATGCCATTTAACTTTATGGACAGCCAAAACTGAGCATTCTGCGAGGGGAGAAGAGCAGGCTAAACAGATTGGCTTCATTCTGAAGTAAGCTCGTCGCCTCAGCGACGACTCCCCATGGCACAGAGCAGACTCTAGACCTTATTAAACTAGTATTGCCAGACACCGAGATGCACATGCATGCACACAATGTGACGTGTGCTTGAATAACAAAAATACGCATATACAGGTGCTGGTCATAAAATTAGAATATCATGAAAAAGTTGATTTATTTCAGTAATTCCATTCTAAAAGTGAAACTTGTATATTATATTCATTCGTTACACACAGACTGATATTTTTGAAATGTTTATTTCTTTTAATGTTGATGATTATAACTGACAACTAATAAAAAACCCAAATTCAGTATCTCAGAAAATTAGAATATTGTGAAAAGGTTCAGTGTTGAAAACACCTGGTGCCACACTCTCATCAGCTAATTAACTCAAAACACCAGCAATTGTTTTCTTTTTTTTTTTTTTTTTTAACCTTTATTTATACACAGTTATGCAAAGGCCTTTAAATGGTCTCTCAGTCTAGTTCTGTACACTACACAATCATGGGGAAGACTGCTGACTTGACAGTTGTCCAAAAGACGACCACTGACATCTTGCACAAGGAGGGCAAGACACAAAAGGTCATTGCTAAAGAGGCTGGCTGTTCACAGAGCTCTGTGTCCAAGCACATCAATAGAGATGCTAAGGGAAGGAAACGATGTGGTAGGAAAAAAAGTGTACAAGCAATAGGGATAACTGCACCCTGGAGAGGATGGTGAACTAAAACCCATTCCAAAATGTGGGGGAGATTCACAATGAGTGGAACACAGCTGGAGTCAGTGCTTCAAGAACCACCACGCACAGACGTATGCAAGACACGGGTTTCAGCTGTCACATTCCTTGTGTCAAGCCACTCTTGAACAAGAGCCAGCGTCAGAAGCATCTTGCCTGATATAAAGACAAAAGGGACTGGACTGCTGCTGAGTGGTCCAAAGTGATGTTCTTTGAAAGTAAATTTTGCATTTCCTTTGGAAATAAAGGTCGCAGAGTCTGGAGGAAGAGAGGAGAGGCACAGAATCCACGTTGTTTGAGGTCCAGTGTCAAGTTTCCACAGTCAGTGATGGTTTGGGGTGCAATGTCATCTGCTGCTGTTGATCCACTGTGTTTTCTGAGGTCTAAGGTCAACGCAACCGTCTACCAGGAAGTTTTAGAGCACTTCATGCTTCCTGTTGCTTACCAACTTTATGGAGATGCAGATTTCATTTTCCAACAGGACTTGGCACCTGCACACAGTGCCAAAGCTACCAGTACCTTGTTTAAGGACAATGTTCTTAATTGGCCAGCAAACTCTCCCGACCTTAACCCCATAAAAAATCTATGAGGTATTATGAAGATGAAGATGTAACACACCAGACCCAACAATTCAGAGGAGCTGAAGGCCACTATCAGAGCAACCTGGGCTCTCATAATACCTGAGCAGAGCCACAGACTGATCGACTCCATGCCACGCTGCATTGCTGCAGTAATCCAGGCAAAAGGAGCCCCAACTAAGTATTGAGTGCTGTACATGCTCATACTTTTCATGTTCATATTTTTCAGTTGGCCAACATTTATAAAAATCCTTTTTGTTTATTGGTCTTAAGTAATATTCAAATTTTCTGAGATATTGAATTTGGGGTTTTCATTAGTTGTCAGTTATAATCATCAACATTAAAAGAAATAAGCATTTGAAATATATCAGTCTGTGTGTAATGAATGAATATAATATACAAGTTTCACTTTTTGAATCGAATTACTGAAATAAATCAACTTTTTCATATTATTCTAATTTTATGACAAGCACCTATAAACGTTCAAACACATTCTCCCAGACCTCTCACTGATATGTCTTGGCTGCTGCAAGGTATGCTTTAATGGTTCAGAACAGTTGAAATCACACAGACCAAGAGAGTACACGCTGATGGTTGTGTCTAAGGAGAGGGGTCATGAAGCACACACAAGGCCTGCTTACCTCCTCCACACTTTGCATCCACAACAAAACATAAAAATGCGAAAACACTCAGGCTCTGCTTTGCTTTGGTCTGCCATAATGTCCAAAAGTTAATTAGAAATGCAAATTCTTGGATCCTTTCCATCAAGGTTGTTTTGCTAACCAGCTAGCTGTCTCACTAACGCTCTATGCATCTTGGATAGTTCAGGTGAGTGAACAAAAGGCTACCACAAAAAAAGAAGGGAAAAACACAGACATAAAAACTAATGAAACCTCTTTTTGTGCAATTTTAAACTTCTTTGAGAGTTCAAATTAAAATAACCTTTCATTGGCAAACATGCCTGCTGCGAGCTGGAGTGGAGAATAAACAAGAAAGGAAACAGGCTCCACTGAAATATTCATCAGGCCTTCATCATTTATGCAGGAGATTAGCTCCTCCTCAACACTCTCTTGTGTTCACAGAGAGTCATCAGTATAGCCTTCTTCAGGCCATGCTCTTGCGCTGCAGTACTACCTGCACATCACATCGCTAACTAAATAACTACCTGAGACGGATTGCTCAGAGGAAAATCTCCCAAAGCCTCTAGATTTATTTCTAATCAAACAAAACAACCCAGGAGAAGTTTGCTCAGTGTGAACCATAATGACAGTGCAGCACCATATAATCAGTCAATTTAATTTAGGTGTATACCTCCTGAGCCCAGCTTTATAAAGTAATTGCCAGATATAAATATCATTATTTTGTGTATTTTAACTCTGCAACATTTTGAGGCAAATCAAGATTAAAAATAAATTAGAAACATGTCTAGTTTTAACTTGAATTTTAATAATTCTAAATAAAATGTGGTACATTTTCAGAAGCATCTATTTTTTTACCTTAAAAATGTGTCATTTAAAGATTTAACATCATTTGTAACAAAAGCACAGGTAAAATCAGGATTAATAGTGCAAGTTTTTTTTTAAGAGTTTTCGTTTCACAACTTAAAAAAAACAATAGATATATAGATAAAAAACAAAGACACTTTCTTTAAGGGATATTTATAAAATGTAATTATACTTTCTCTGTTTTTTTTTATTTTATTATAGTGTATTATGTAACTATCCTAAAGATTTAAATAGGCTCCTGGTAAGCACTGTTATAGAAATAAAAGAGCGTACAAAAGGAAAGCGTTTGGAAAACCTTTTTAAATTAGTTTAATGACAGAAAATATACAAATTAGGCCAGACAACATTTAGAAATTATATTTAAATAGATTTACTAACAATTACCATGATTAAGCATTAAACTTATAGAAATACAGATAAAAAAAAAGAAGGTAAATCAGGTTTTTGACCTAATGTGTACCTGGACAGTTCTGCAATTATCTTAGTTCTTAATAAGAGGGAAAGAATTAACTGGATAATCTGACGACACGTTGCTGGACCATTAAAGGTCTTTACATCAGTAGGGTCTACAGTATAAAGTTTTTTAATAAGGCCAACAGTAATCTTGTTTAATGTTTGTAATAAAAAATAATGTGCAAGACAGACCCAACTTCAAGTACAACAGAAGAAAACACCAAAAACTATAAAAACAAGTTACTATAATTTATAGTCAGCATTTGAAGAGCATATTAGTGATTATTATTTATGGCAGGAATTTTAAGCAACATAAAACAGCAATAAATATCAGCTAATTCTGTTTATCACAACACAGTAGTGCACTGAGTTGTTGCAGCACTAATAACGTGCCTCCCTACCAGCCTGTGCAGACAGCGAGCACCGTCCACAGCAACAAATCTGCAGACAGTGCAAACTAATTGTGTGCATACTGTGGATTTATGGTGTGAGCACAGTTTATTTTTACTCCAAGCTAACAGCTTGCTTGGTCTCTCTACGGGAGGTTCTGCTCCTCTCATTTTCTGTCACCTATCCTCTTCCTGTATGACAGCAGGGTCACCATATACAACACAGATGCACACTAACACACACGCTCATACAAGAAAATACATGCACACAGAGGCCCACCCGGCCCTTTCAGCTCCAACTGTCCGCCACCAAAATAGCTGACGCAGAATAATGAGTTCTTGACACCCAAAATGATATCGATAACACTAGGAAAAATGGCAACGGTGCTGCTAAAAAGACACAGCAGTTAGTGTGAGAGTGAAAAGATGTGGAGAGCAGGGGAGGGAAGACTGGGGAGATGAGGGCCATTAGCTGCCAACACAATATAACTACCACTTAGCCTAACTAGCAGGCAAAGAGGCAAACTGCCAAATGACTTACACATGGTTTCTGATGACATGAGGATGGCTGTTTGGATGAGAGCTACACAACAATTTTTATTATAATCCAATGTTAAACTGAACAGAACACAAACACTGTCAAAACAAAACTGTTCTCATCGTTTTCGTTAAAACTGGAAATCACAGCTTCCTTAAACAAAACCGTATTCTCAGTCACTTACAATGACGACCGACAAGATTTTTAATGAATGCAAATTGAATTTGAAATATTTTAATACTGAAAAACTTTGACAATATATTTTTGTTCGAAAACATTCTTGTTGTTATTAGTATAATTTACGGACTCACAAAACATGAGCTCAACCCCCTCAAACCTATCGGACTAAAAACATGCTGCAAGCAAAAAGATTTTCGCGGCCTTTTTGGTCTAACATCAGTCCAAAAAAATAAGACGAATTATTCAACTATTAAAAACAATTGTAATTTAAAAAAAAAAAAAAAGTTATTTTTTTTATAATGTTTACCACATACTGATAAAAAAAAAGCTGGCATATGTTTAGTGTTTAGCTGCCACCTCTGGCTGGATTAATGCTGTGGCTTTACACTTAGCTGGCTGACCTTTTACAGAGAAAGGCTGCTAATACTGTTATGCATCCAGTAAAATGACAGCAGCAATTTCTGGGTGGATAAAACCTGGCTTGAGCACTGACAAAGTGTTCTCTGCAAATCTCCTCTGTTAGCAGGCATTATTAATAAAATGGCAGACTTATGTAATTTAGAAACTAGTAAAAAAACAGGTATTTGTGGACATTTTATGTAACATTTAAAGATTAAATTGTGAGACAACGTCCAGCGAAAAATAAAAAAGTTATATGGCAACTATACAGAAAGGAGGAAATTAAATTATTATTTACATAAACAAAAACTGTGGCAGCAAATGCTTCTTTTTTTAAATGTCACAGTGAAAGTGAAGAATAAATGTGCAAAAGCAGATTAAATGTATCATAATAGATCAACGGCGATATTTGCTTATTTCTGAAGGCTTTATTCATGAACATAGATCTCCACCTGGTGATCAATAATATGTATTGCATGTAAATCTACCACTTATTTCATCTTTTATGTGCACCAGCATTAAAAGATAGTTTACGAATAAATTATAGAAAAAAGAAATGGCCAGTAAGGCAGTTTGAGTATAGATACCTGTTTTTGCTGGTGCTGGCAGTAGGTGTGATGTCTGGAGTCAGGACATACAGGCTGTTGTTCTTGGGCAAGTGTAAAGATCTCAGCACCGTCTGATTACACAAACACACAAAGGAAAAACACTATTAATTTTAAATAACTTATCTTTGTGGAGACTTTGAGCTCAACACAGTGTGGACACAAAAATGCTTATGCTAACGTACTATTTTAAAACAACCTTGTGGAATATAAACAGAATAACTGGTTTGATGTAATATTTTTTCTTTATCGTTGTTTTTACCTTGCTAAAAATACAGCCTAAAAACTCACACTATCAGTGACATCCCCGCTCTTCCATCCCTTCAGCTGCATTTTGGATGCTGGAATGCCAAGCTCTGTCTGAAGGAATTCTTTGATTTCTCCTGTGAGTTTAATTAGAAAAAAAAATTAATAAACAAAGTCTGAATCACATGAACACATGAACAGACTAAAATCATTCTGCAAAATTATTAGACTTGCTTCCATTTATCTCCAATAAACCATCTAACAAAACAGACAAATATTTTAAAGTATTTTTCACTGTTTTGATCTGATTTTGCTGGGGCTAAATCCTACCAAATGTTTCCATTAACCAATCAGCTGCATTTCAAAGAGCATTACATTAGTAGATTCAACTGCAATCTTTCATATCAAAAATTGTTTTGAATGCACATAAATGCTGAAAAATACCTTGATCATTACAGCCCAAATATACAAAACAACTAGGGCAAAGAATGTTTCAGTGTTGTGTTCTCTCTAAGAGAAACCATAGTACATGTATTTGTTTCTGAGTGGGTGGTGCTCACTAATTGTGCTGCTTTCTTCAAGCACGAGCTCCACAGAGCGTTGCCGGTACTCCACCATGAAGTTTAGCATCCGTGACTGGCGCTCTACAATGTGTCGGGAGGGGTTAATTGGACAAAACACTGAAGCCGAGGACGGCAGAGGAGAAGACGATGGAGATGATGAAGAGGGGGGAGGAACTGCACTTCCAGCTGCTGCGTCTGCGTCGCCTGCTTCAGAGTGGCTGTGGGGTCCGTGCATGGTGGCCTGGCTCGCCTCACTAGAAAAGCCACTGCTCAGAGAGAAAAGTGGGTTCACTATTTGTAGATCCTTCATATTATACAAAAACAGCACACTTTATCAAACACAGTTTTTCACAATTGCTAAAACACAAAACCCAATTCTCTAAACCAAATGACCAGATCCCTAAACGCATTTAAAAAAACGAGTCCGTTTGCCAAAACCATGAACACATTTTCTCAAAATGTCATCCTCCTTATCTCATAACACCAAACACATTTTGTCTTACTAAAACACAAGTTGCAAAAAACAAAAATGAACACACCTGCCTTCACTCATTAAACAACAACTCAAAATTGAAGACACTTGTTGCAACTGATATGACCACATCTATAAAGGCCAGTTCAGACTGCACAGTTTGCTGAAGGCTCCAAACTACCACAATGGACAGAGACAGAGGAAGAGGAGTTTGAGTCAGAGGAGGGAGAGGAGCAGGTCAAAGAGGAGGGGGGCAAGGACGGGGGCAAGAAGGGAGAGCAGCAAGACGATCACGCACCATCATTAGGGATGAGATGAGTGCAACAGTCGTTGACCATGTTAATGACTGAAGCAGGACAAAGAGTCAGTCCGAGCTTGAGTAGGTTCTCAGTGGTCACCATTACATACAGTAGGTGTTCAGAGGTTACAACAGGTACTGTAATGCAGTGCTGGTCACTACAGTAATAGTGGAGTAGGCTTCATCTCATTATCCCTGCTGTACAAATCGATTGTGAAACATGCCCATTGATGTTTCTATTGAATGCATGTTTTTTTTTCTAGAGTGCATGCACAATTCAGTACTGTAAAATGTATGTTTGTTTCTCTAGAGTTAAAAGAATGCCATGTGGAGGTGGGTTGCCATATTTACTCTGGCGCAAGAAGCCCTCATGTAGCTATGGTCCGGGAGAACAACGCAATCAGACTCTGTGAAATTAAGGAGAGGGACATTGCTTACAATGTCAAATTTGAGAACAATGACAATGCCAGCTTGACCACCATAGACAGAATTCACCAGCACCAACAGGTGCACGTGAAGCAGACCTATAGGGTACCCTTTGCACACAACCAGGTCGAATCAAAGACCTACGTTACGAGTAAGTGCAAGCAAGTATACATCCATGTACACAGTTCAAAGTACAGTGGGCACACATACCGTGCTGCTCAGTGGCCTACAGTACTACTGTGCAATACTGTACTAGTGTATTGACTGTAGTTATGAACACCTGAAAACACTTCATTTTCACAGAGGATTTTCCGGTTGGACTCTATGGACAGACCTCGTGAGTAGATTTCCTGGATGAGGCTGGCTTCAACCTCATGAAACGAAGGAGACGAGGCCGTAACATCACTGGCCAAAAAGCTATGGTTTATGTTCCTGGCCAACGTGGGGGTAACGTCACTCTTTGTGCTGCCATGTGTTCTGAGGAGCTTTTCCACCGGCATGCTGTCCTCAGCTCATTCAATACTGAACGCACCAACCAGATCAGAGGGTGGCTCAGTATCAACCAGCAATTTCTGAATGTCTCTCTGTCACCCTACTCAACTTTCCTAAACCCCAAAGAGGAGTTTTTCTCGTCATGGAGGTAGAAGGTCTATGACCGTCAACCTTACACCAGAGAGAATCAGGGCTATGGACCTGGCTTGTGATGACGTGGCTGTGGAGGCATTTCAAGGCTGGATCCAGCATGCCAGGGCATTTTTCCCACATTGCCTAGAGAGGGACAGTATTGTCTGCGATGTCGATGAGGTCCTGTGGCCGAAAACGTGATTTTGCCCAACAATTGTGGTGGGTGTGTGTGGGGTGTAGCTCCATAATAAAAAAAAAGAACATCACACCCTGAAAAAAGTGTTTTCAGTTCTTTTGTTGTAGTGTGAATGATGTGTAGTAATGTCAACAATTTTATTGAATATGAGCAACTGTTTTGGTGTGAAAGTTTGGGTTTTATGAAGAAAATCTGAGGTTGTGTATGTAGCGTGAGAAGTGTTTTTCATTTGGAGTTTTGGGAAAACGGAGGAAGGTTTTGTGACGTGTTTAAGCAATAGTGGGGGCCGAGATGGTGTAGACTGTAGAGGTAGGGCAGCCAACTTGGGACCAGAAAGTCACAGGCTCAACTCCCCACCATGCCCGCATGTTGTGGTGTCCTTGAGCAAGACACCTAATCCCTAATTGCTCCCCAGATGGTTACATAGCTGCCCATTGCTCCACCTGGGTGTATCTCACGTGTGATGAGTTAAATGCAGAGAACCAATTTTGTCATTGTATAGAAACATACTACGATGACAACACATTGCACTTTACTATAGTGAAAAACTGTAAGAATAGTTATTTTAAAAATAACCCATTTCTATTTTTTCTGATGTCTGCATAGAGTTCCAAATTTTTCTTTGCTGTCTTAAAAGAACCATGGTTTATACATTGCCTGGCCAAAAATAAAGTTGCCACCTGGATTTAACTAAGCAAATAGGTACGAGCCTCAGGGCACATCAAGGTAAGCGAATGCATGCCGTAGTCAAAGCTAAAGGTGGTCCAACGAAATATTAGCGTGTGACCTTTTTTTTTTTTTTTTTTGGTGGTGACTGTTTTGGGGGCCAGAAAGTGTACAACACAGCGCAACTTGTGTCTGGCTGTATTTTTGTCACGAAGGACAGAGTTTGCTCATTGCTGGTCAAAGCATATGCAGCAAACATCTTGGAAAATTGAAAAACTTCTAGCATTTAAACAGCCTTTTTTCCCTCTCGTCCTTAACTGTAACAAGGTCACTGTCCCAAGTCGTACTTTGACCACCACAAAACAAACATGCTGGAATGACGGGAGGAAGACCATGAACACAATACAAACACATTTTACACAAACACACGTTTTACTTCTCAGTAAAGCCGTCAGATTTTGGGTTACTGTAATTCCTAAAAGCTGCTTCACCATATCTGTCCTGCAAATCCACAGCACTGTGCAAAATACTTGAGCTATCCCTGATATGATTTTGATGTTCAAAATGTTTCTATTTTTCTTGATGAATACTTTTCCAGTATTTTTGAAGGTCTTTTAAAATTTTTCCATTTTATTCCTCATCAGTTCAATCTCATTTGAACCTACTCCGTGTTAAAGGAGTTACTTTTGTTTATTAAGCCAACTAATGTTGGTCTAATGATCATTTGAAGAAAACGGACACCTACACTCAAATGCTAGTATTGTGTCTACACACAAACGGCTTGGCAAAAAAAAAAAAAAACTGTTCTTATAAAAACTTTGCGTTTTCTTGTCAGCAATCTGTCCCAAAATCTAAATTTGTTCACATTCCAAAAAAACTCCCACCAACAACTGATTGGTGATTTCCAAAGAGCTACTTGTCAAAAATATAACATAGCAGATCCAACAGCTGAAGGGCAATGTTTTGTTTGTGTATTGAGTTAGGTCTTTGCAACTTTTCAGTTTTAAGGACATTCATTTCAGATATTGTTTATCCCCAAGACTTGTTCTTATGTTGAGAACTATCTAGACTTAAAATTTTAACAAGATCCTGCAAAAAATGTCAAGAAATGTCACTTTTTAACTCTTTGGGAATCACCTTGTTGATGCGCAACTATTTTACATTTTATCAACTCAACAGTGGACTTAAGAATCACGGGGTATTTGTACATTTGCTCTATTTTACAGTAAATATGTTGCAAATTGAATCATTACCTTTGCAAGATTCCATTTTCCTGTGGTATCACACCATTGATGGCTGCCTGTGGTGAAAACAGAAATAAACTCAGCCATAATCAGTAATGCCACGGTATTGTTCATGTATTGTAACAATTACCAAATCTGTGCAGTGCACAGAGCTCAGCCTGCACCTAAAGAATAAAATCATTCACATGACACCACACGGAACACGCACCGACACTCAAACATTTTGTTTCGAAGAGGCAGAGAGACAACACAAATAATCATTGTCTTCTCATAAGGGCAAGGAAAAGTTGAGATTTGCTGACTTTTTTTTTTAACAAACTGTGTGCCACAAAAGTAACAACTGGAATATTCTGAACAAAAAGAAATGAAAAGAGAAATACAACCACTGTCAGCTTTGCAGCGAGCTTTTGTTTCGGTGGACAACTGATTGACTCTCTCTGGAACAGTTACTATTCTACGCTGCATTACAAGCAACATAAGGTTTGTACATGTATTAGTAAACTCAAATATAATATTCTGTTTTGATCAAAAGCAACCAGAACAAAATAAAACAAAATGTATTACATTAAAAAATAATAAACTAACAGTTCACACATACATACATACATATATACATGTATATTAAATCCTAAACTTTCAATGAAGTAATAATATTTATAGCAGATTGTTTTGTTTAATTGCCATCAGTTATGTATACATTCAGCAGAACGTAGTCCTCCTCACACTTCACCATGTTGTATCATCACTACAGGCACTCAGTGGGCCCTTTGCATAGTTTACAATCAGTGAACCTGAACTATCTTTGTTATTTCTAGGGATGCAGTTTTCTGGATGATCACCGATCTCTAAAAAGCCTGACCTGCTGATTCTGATTTTGGCCGATACCCATTTTGTTCTATACCCTCAATTTTCCAATCTTATTTTATTGAAAAACATACCCTTGAACAATATCATAGAAACAATACAAACTTGTTTTAACTGGCCATGAGGTAGTGCTCTGAAATATAAATGAAGTTTAGACAATTGTTGCTAAAACTACAAAAAAAACGGTAAAATCGGTTTCTCGTGTATCGGCCGATCGCCAATCACACAAAATTAAGGAAATCGGGGACTCAGCGGGCCGATTTATCGGTGCATGCCCTAGTTATTTTGCTTGTTTTAAATCTGTAAAATTCAAGTTTCAAACTAAAAATTATGAAGGCAGGTTTAAGTTTTTAGTCTTCTTGTTAACAAGCTGGCTCACAGTTTCTGTCTTCACACAACTTGAACAGAGGCATTATTTTTGTCAATAATAAATCACACTGCAATAAAAAAAACAAGTGTCAAACTTATAAAAGCAACAATATGAATGTAGAAATGGATTCAGGTTTAAGCTGCATAACATTCCATATTTTAAGAATAGGTGAACTTATTTTATTATTGTTCAGGAGATAAACGTAAAATGTATCTTATTTTCATAAACAGGACAGAATACTTTTAGGTTTATGTTTTCCATTTCAACAAAAAATAGCAGGTGCATTTATCTTTGTTTTAGTTTAGAAAATACAAGTTTACAGTGACATATGAAGAAAGCAGATAAGAAAAGACTTAATCAGGTTGCAGCAGCTACTAGAAGGCTGGTGTATCGGCAGCAACACACACCAGGTATTTATCATGAGTACACTTCACAAAAACGTTGACTTAAAAGGAAAGTGTTTTTAATTAATAATCACTGCCTGAGTAGTGGACATTTGAACTAACTGAAGATTCAGTCTGCATACCTACCATGAAAATAAGTATCAGAGAAAATGTTAATGAAATAGTAGCTTGATTTCTACCAATTTTGCATTTTGAATATTTCTAAATCATGAAAGTTTGCCTAAAATAAAAACTCTCTCTGCTTTTATGGAATAAAAAAAGGCAATGAAACAAAATAAGCAATTTCATCCACAAATTCAAAAAGTTACAAAGGACATTTGGACAAAAGAGGATTAAGCACTTCCTGTTCTACAAACCCATTCCCTACAGAAATACTGCTAACATTTTAGTTAACATTTTCATTCAATTGTAGCATATATTTTACCTTCATATAGTTTATTATTACACCAACAAGCAGATTTGCCTTTTAATAAAATGAAAACCTATTGCAGGAGAACTGCAAGTCATCAGATTCACAGCTGCAGTGTCCCCACTGTCTGTCCAGCTGCTGAGCTCCTGCCAGCATGAATCTATTTATAGACGGAGCCCTTCCAGTACGTACTTCACGTTAAGGGGCTCGCCATGAATAAACACGAGCACGACAAGATACATTACTCCTCACCATCGTTGAACACAACATTCACTTCGCCACACCTCTCAGGACACTGGTTTTTCTCTCACTGAGATCCCATGTCCTCCTGACTCAAAAGAGGACTACTTGATGTCAGTTGTTAAAAACAAAAAAAATAAAAATTTGGCAAAACTAGAAAATGTGTGGTACTGAGAATCAACTCTCCTGTGTGTACTTTAACTGGAATAAGGATTTCACATCAAAGCCCAAAGCCTGCAGATACTGAACTTACCACTAAATCCCAGTTATTAAGCTCTAAGAGAGTGATTGCCTCTGCAATGTTGTCAATTCCAGTGCAGGCCTGTAAGAGGGAAGAAACAATTTATTACCAAACAGAAGTACAACAAAATACATCTTGAAAACAGGACATCTTTCCGTTGAATGCTACATTTGCTTATCTTATTAGAAGTCAAGTCAAGTCAAGTCATATTTATTTATAGAGCACAATTTAAAACAGATAGACTGTTATCAAAGTGCTTAACACTAAGGGTAACACTGAGAAATAAAAAGCAGTAAGAATATACCTTAAAAATTTAAAACAACAGCATTAAAATGAAGACATGGAACAAGATATACTAAATCAACTCACACAGTATGAAACGCCAGAGAGAACAGATATGTTTTTAGCAGGGATTTGAACACAGGAAGGGAGGTGGCATGCCTAATGTTGGGGGGTAGGTTGTTCCACAGTTTGGGACCCATGACTGAAAACGACCGATCTCCTCGGAGCTTCAGTCGTGTTTTTGGAACAACCAAAAGCAGCTGATCGGATGATCTCAGAGCCCGAGAGGGAACATATGGTTCCAGTAGCTCAGAGAGGTAGATGGGTGCGAGGCCATTTAGGCACTTATAGGTCAGGAGGAGAATTTTGAAATCAATCCTAGTTCTCACAGGAAGCCAGTGTAGGGAGGACAGAACTGGTGTGATATGCTCATACCTCGGTGTACCGGTTAAGAGCCGAGCTGCAGCATTCTGGACGAGCTGTAGCGGTGAGATAGAGGCCTGGCTGACTCCAGCATACAGTGAATTACAATAGTCCAGGCGGGTTGTGATGAATGCATGGACTAGTGTCTCAAGGTCGGGTCTAGACAGCACTGGCTTGAGAAAATAGGGAAAGATTGACATATTGTTTTCTCAGATTCGTTAAAACACGTTGACAATTCCAGTTGTAGTACTCAACTGTTTATAGCTCATGTGAAGCTTTTTAATTAATTAATTTATTTATTTTAGACGTTTATACCAATACCTTGTATACCTGTATCTTTTAGCAAACTAAAAAATATGTTGTTTAAAAGTAATATAAAGGCTATAAAAAGCTATAAACAAGCATCATCGGACCAATTAACTTTCAGAAGTTTAACTTCCAAGAACTGACTGCAAGTCACAGTGATGGTCGCTAACGTTATACAGTAGTTCCTCGCTAATTCGCGGTTTGACTTTCGCGGACTCGCTCTTTCGCGTTTTTTCAACGATTGTCAACTTTAATATTACTCACGTGATTGGGACGGTACGGGATAAAAAGTTAACGAAAAAAATACTTTGGATAGGCGCCGCCATTTTGTATTTTTCTTTCAATAACCTATACTGTAACGCCAGTCAAAAGAACTACACTACCCAGAAACCAACAGCGCTTCCGGACGCTGCTTTCTGCTGAAATGGAGGGAAAGTTTTGCAATGCAGTCAGAAGAAGCTCACAGAACTGGCAGGAAAGTCGCATTTAATCCTGAAGCTCAATTATCCACGTGCACATCAACCTGGACGGGGCGGTGGGCTTCGTCACTGCAGGGTCTGCTGAATCGGAACCGAGCTGCTGGTCTGCAGAGCTGGTGAGTAAAAGTTTGCAGTACTGTACAGTACATATACGCATGTTGTTAAAATGATGTAGGTTTAAGAGTTTAGAACACTGCAAGAGTGTGGGAAGGGTTTATAAAGCCTTAATATATATTAAAATAAATATAGCGTTCCTACTTTGCGGATTTTCATCTATTGCGGTGGTGTGTGGAACGTAACCCCCGCGATAATCGAGGGACTGTTTTAATGTATCCCAGTTTGAAATATGCACACACACATATACATTAAATTTATTTATTGATTACATTATTATTATGGTGAGCATGTACAACTCCACTACAAAAGGGAGCCTCTTTGGATGTTTCTTTGCCAAATAAATATTGTATCAGGTGGTAATTTAATGAATAGGAAACAAAGTATTTTTTTTACTTTTTTTTTTACTATTTCTGCTGCAATATAAAGTTTGACGGTACCAGTCTTTAGTCTGGTCCTTGTAGTAAGAGATGTCTGAGGGTCTACAGTAAATTAGGTGTCGTTTGAGGATGTCACTGTCTGACATGTTGAATTATTATATCAAGACAGAGTTGAACGGGATTTGGCTCCAAGCTCGAAGTCATGTATGAAAGTCTGCGTCGACTGCGAAACAAGAGACAAAGCGTAAACAAGTTGGCAGCTAACAGCTTGTGTTTATTTCACGTTTACTAAGGCAATTAGTTCATCAATCCACCAAACTGAAAATCAGTCCAAGTCACACACTGGTCTTCGTTCAGATAAAAATATTTAAGACTTGTTTTTGTCAAGACATCGAGCTCTGGGTGAATAACTGTGCAGTTACCGAGCTGTCAGTCATTTAGCTCAGTGCTAACCAGAAAGGCAGCTCCGCTTTTTTCTTGAGCGCTTTGTTGTCGGCCTCCGACGACACCTGAAACAAAACTACAAGCTGAAGAAATTATTAGACACACGAAATAACCACGCACCTGAAAGTCGGCCAGAATCATTTCTCTGTCCATGTTGCAGGCGCCGCTTTCGGAGGCCGTGGTGGTGGCAATGACTGGCTAAAAGCGATCCCTCTTCACCGCCTCACAGGAGGAAACTGAACACAAATAAAATCCGATGCTTACGGCGGTGGCTTCAGAAATGTTGGCGAATGTGAAAAATGGACGTGAAGTGGGAGTTTAACGGCTCCAAACGGGCACCAGTTCAGTGAAGTAACGTTACGGTTCACAGTTATCTTGTATCATTATTGTCAGCTAACCCATTGCTTTACGGCTGACGTAAAGTGCCTCCGACTGTCGCAAAGCATACAGGCGAGACGTAATTTAGTTGTTTACAGTGGCGCTTGAAAGTATGTGAACCCTTTAAAAAATGTTATCTTTCTGCATAAATATGACCTAAAACATCATCAATTTTTCACAAAAGTCCTTAAAGTAGTTGAAGTAAACAGTTAAACAAATGAGACAAAAAATATTATACTTGGTCATTTATTTGAACCAACCATTATTTGAACCAATGAAATTCAATTCAGTTTATTTATACAGCGCCAAATCACAACAGAAGTCATCTCAGGGCACTGAACAGAAGCATTCATATATAAAAATAAGTTAACAGAAACATTCATATAAAAATAATTTAACATTATTTATCTTAGGAGCAGACTGCTTTGAATTTAATTGAAATACACGCATTCATTACATCTAGGCTTGATTACTGCAATTTGCTCCTGTTTGGTATCAGTCAGACCTCCCTTGCACGACTACAACTGGTCCAGAATGCAGCAGCCTGATTTTTAACCAGTACAGGCAAAAGAGAGCACATTACTCCTGTTTTGGCCTCACTGCACTGGCTACCGGTTCACCTTTGAATCCAGTTTAAAAATCGCTGAACAGTCTCTCTGATCTGCTACAGCCGTATGTCCCACCACGTTCCCTGAGGTCAGCGGACCAGTTGCTCCTCACAGTTCCAGGAACTCGTCTTAAGCGCAGAGGTGACAGGGCCTTCTCTGTAGCAGGACCAAGACTTTGGAACGAGTTACCTCTGCTTGTCAGACAGGCCCCCTCCCTCTCGGTTTTCAAGTCCCGTTTAAAAACCCACTACTATTCAGTAGCTTTCAACACCAGAGGATATCCATAAAAGTTCAATCTAGTCCTCTGGACATTCAAAAAAAAAAAAAAAAAAAAACAAAGCAAAAAAATGTAGAAACATTTCGTCTCTCATCCGAAAGACTTCCTCAGTCTGAGGTGCTGTTTTCAGCTCAGTCTCTTAAATAGCACCTTCTCAGAGTGGATCAACCAGTTTGTTGCTGACAACCAAAACCAGCTGCTCACATGGTCAAGAAGGCCCATCAGCCTAACAATGGATCAATAGCACACTGATAGCCGTTTACTATTCACAGGGGGTTGAGTGATATTAGCAATAACAGCATTGTAAGAGGGGGACAGTTGAACCCGGAGGCCTCCACCCCTGTTTAACGATGGACGGTTTCTTTTCACAAAGATGGCCTCCTTTACTCCTCTCTCAAACCATCGTTCCTCTCTGTCCAGGATGTGAACATCTTCATCCCTGAAAGAGTGACCGCTGGCCTGGAGATGAGTGTAGACCGCAGAATCCTGGCCTGATGATGTTGATCTTCTGTGCTGGGCCATACTTTTGGCCAGTGGCTGTTTTGTTTCCCCGATGTAAGACTGATCACAGCCCTCCTGACACTGAACAGCATACACAACATTACTCTGTTTGTGCCGGGGGACTGGATCTTTGGGATGAACCAGTCTTTGCCGTAATGTATTTTGGGGTTTAAAAGCCACTGGGACGTTATGTTTAGAAAATAAACGTCTCAGTTTCTCTGATACTCCCTCAACATACGGAAGGACCACTGGTCTGGGTCTGGGTTCCTCCTTTTTACCTGATGGCTGACTGGAGTCCTGTTTGGGTTTCTTCTCTGCTTTCAGGAAGGCCCAGTTAGGATATCCACATGGCTCTAGAGCCTGTCTTGTGTGGGATTTCTCCTTCTGCCTGGCTCCTGAGTTAGTGGGGACGCTGTCTGCTCTGTGATACAGAGTCCTGATGACTCCTAACTTGTGCTCCAAAGGGTGATGGGAGTCAAACTGCAAATACTGGTCTATGTGGGTGGGTTTGCGGTATACCTCGTTTTTCAAATGTCATCTATCAGAGACTGAGACCTCACAGTCCAAGAAAGCCAACTTGCCATTTTTTTCATCTTCTCGTGTGAACTTGATGTATTTATCCACAGAGTTGATGTGGTCAGTAAAATGTTGGACTTCCTAAGATTTAATTTTAACCCAGGTGTCGTCAACATACCTGAACCAATGACTTGGTGGTGTCCCTGAAAAGGACGTCAAGGCTCTCTTTTCTACCTCCTCCATGTACAGGTTGGCAACAACAGGAGAAACTGGAGACCCCATAGCACACCCATGTTTCTGCCTATAATATTACTCCCCATATGTGAAGTAGGTTGACTGCAGGCACAGTTTCAAGAGTTGACACAGTTGTTCTGTGGAAAGCGTGGTCCTGCTGCTCAGAGTGGTGTCTGATTTTAATCTTAAACTGACCACCTCTACTGCATCATCAACAGGAATGCACGTAAAGAGTGATGTGACATCAAAAGAGACCATTGTTTCATCAGTCTCCATGATGACATCCCTCACCTTCTCCACAAAGTCCATGGTGTTCTGTATGTGGTGTTCTGAGCTGCCAACTAAAGGGATGAGTACAGACGCCAGATATTTGGAAACATTGTAAGTGACCGAGTTAATCATGCTAACAATAGGTCTTAAAGGTACTGGCCAAAAGGATAGCCCAGCACAGAAGATCAACATCATCAGGCCAGGATTCTGCAGTCTACACTCATCTCCAGGCCAGCGGTCACTCTTTCAAGGATGAAGATGTTCACATCCTGGACAGAGAGGAACGATGGTTTGAGAGAGGAGTAAAGGAGGCCATCTTTGTGAAAAGAAATCGTCCATCATTAAACAGGGGTGGAGGCCTCCGGGTTCAACTGTCCCCCTCTTACAATGCTGTGATTGCTAGTATCACTCAACCCCTTGTGAATAGTAAACAGCCATCAGTGTGCTAATGATCCATTTTTAGGCTGATGGTTCTTCTTGACCATGTGAGCAGCTGGTTTTGGTTGTCAGCAGCAAACTGGTTGATCCACTCTGAGAAGGTGCTATTTAAGAGACTGGGCTGAATACAGCGCCTCAGACTGAGGAAGTCTTTCGGATGAGAGACGAAACGTTTCTACATTTTTTTGCTTTGTTTTGTTTTTTGTTTTTTTGAATGTCCAGAGGACCAGATTGAACTTTTTTGGATTTTTCTACCTGGATTATTGAGCATCCATCAGGATACCAGAGGATATGTGTTTTGAACCTGTATGCTCCACACTGGTTAGACATCATATTTATTATCTGCATCATTTTTATGTCTATATTCTGATTTACCTCATTTTGTATTTTGCTTTGTGTGTTGCCTGTTTTTCTGTCTGTACAGCACTTTGGTTGGCCTTGTCGCTGTTTTAAGTGATCTATAAATAAAATGGTATGCTATGGTATGGTATGGTAAGAGTATTGTTACTCATCATCCTCTTTCAGGCTGCAACACAAGCGGCACCATAACGTGAGCTGCTGAGTTCCTTGCACACCATCACCATCCTGTAAGCCCGCCCCAGACGTGCTGAAGCTGTGACGTCAGGGAATCCCTCCTCTGCTCTGACAGGAGAGCTGTCATGTTCACTGCATTTAGAGTCACCGCCAGAAATGTAATCGGCTGAGACGGAATGATAGAGCTCTTCTCCCAGTTTATCAGAACAGCTGTTTGTGTCTCTGCCTCTTCCCTGGACCAAGATAGGAGCAGAAGGTCATCCAGATAACACAAGATTTCTATTCCTCTTGTTAGAAGCAGCTGGAGAGCTGCTTCTACACATTTGGAGAACATGTGTGGGGCGAGTGAATAACCGAATGGGAAGTGGTTGTATTGGAAGCAGGCCCCCTGGAAGGAAAAGCGGAGGGACTTCCTGTGTTTGTTTATTACTGGGATGTGGAAGGATGCATCCTTCAGAGCTAGACACAAACCAATCCCCTTGTGTCACGAATTCGAGAACACGTTTCATCGTCAGCATGTGAAAAGTTCGTTCCATGTTGAATTTGTTGAAAGAAGCCAGACCTAAAATTGATCTGAGGTCTGGTGACATCTTCGGAACATGGAAGTACTGGGAGTAAAAAAACAGCTTCCTCCTCTCCAGGAGGAACTGATCATGTCTATTTTCATAAGCTCCATCAGTTCTGAGTGAAGGATTCAACCTGTTCTGGAGATGCTAGCTGGGTTTCTAACACCCTGTTGAATTTCAGGGGTGTTCTCGCAAACTGCAGAGTGTAACCTTTGCAAAATTTTATTTTTAATTAAGTTTTTATCAACATTACAAACATGTGTCTGGGGTATATTAACAGGTACAAAGGTGATAGTATTCAAGGATAAAAAAAGAACAAGATAAATATAAAAGGTACAAAAGGTACAAAAGTCTAAAAAAATTACATCACAATCTATTTACAGGTTACATAGATAAATTCACATTAAGTTTTTCTAGAAATGAGATGGTTTTCATTGCCTTTTTGTTTTCAAGTCCTTTAACAGTTGTGCTGTATATGTAAAGTTCTGCTGAAGTGGGTTATGCTTGGTTTGGAGTTTGACCACTTTGTCTTGTGAATGTGAAATTAAGTTGGGTGAAGTAAATCAAGTCTTTATCCATATCCTTATCGTCAAAGCATAATATAATGTCTTTTTTTATAAGTTGAAATATTTGTCCAGTTTTCTGTTGTATGAGTTGTCATACATTTGTCCAGAATGCCTTTGTGTGATTACATTGATAGAATAAATGAGAGATTGTTTCCATGTGTAGTTCACAAAATGTACAAGAGTAGTCAATATCAAGTTTGAATCTTTCCAGTGTTTTTTAACAGGGTGTACATTATGATTGATTTTATATGAAACCTCTTTAACTTCATTTGTTATGCAAAAATTTTCCCCATTTAACCAAACTTGTTTCCAATTAATTTCTCCAAAAGTAGAGGACCAAAAAAAATCTACCGAGAGGTAAAGTAATCTTCTGTAGACATGTTCTTATAAGTTTGCTGGAACATGTTTTTTTAGTGATCTTCAGTCCACCTAGCATTATAATAATAACAATGATGATCATTTATTCAATTTGTACTGCACTTTACATTTTACAATGTCAAAGTGCTACAATATAAAATATTTAAAGAGAATAAAATAAGGACT